GGCCAGCCCTGCCCCTGGCCCCTCAGCAGCACACCTAGACAGCTTGTCAGGGGCTGCAGGGCTGGCAAGTCCCTCACTACCCCATTGCAGCAGCAACAAGGCAGGAGGAGGTGGGAATGCGGCTGGAATTCCGGCCCTGTGGGCTTGGAGAGGGTGTGAGGCCATGGGCGGGAAGCCGGGCCCGCTCTGCGGCGGCCCTGACGGAGCCCGTGCTGGCAGAGGCCTCGGCTCAAGCCCAACAACTGGCCTGTCCCCTGGAGCCAGAATGGGTCCCGAGCTCAGGATGCAGCCCCGAGATGGGCAGAGGGCTGGAGCAGCTCTGCTGTGGAGACAGGCAGAGAGGCTTGGCAGGAGGCTCTGGAGACACCTCTGAGCGGCTGCCAGGGCCTGCAGGGCCGGCAGGAGAGCTGGGGAGGGGCTGTTCCCTGGGGTCTGGTGGGAGAGGACAAGGGCTGATGGATTAAACCTTGACAAGGGGAGATGGGGAGGAAATTCTTCCCTGTGGGGGTGGCGAGATCCTGTCCCAGGGAAGCTGTGGAAGCCCCATCCCTGGAAGCATTCAAGGCCAGGCTGGACGGGGCAGGCAGCAACCCGGGCACCGCTGTGGAAACAGGGCGTGAGGGTTGCTGGGGAAGACAGACACCAGAGCCATGAACGTCCTCCCTGCCGGCTCCTTTCTCTGAGCTGCTGCTGCTGAACACAACATGCTACGTGTGGCAGAGCCTTGGGCCAGTTTGGGCCACCTGTCCGTGACGGGGCAGGGGGTGTGTGTCACTCAGCTAGATGTTCCTGAGTCAAGACAAATGACAAGGAGGGTTCGCTCCCCAATTACGGTTCTGAGCAAAACAGACAACTTGGGGGGAAAAGAACTATTTATTTGATCACTAAAGTCCAGGGGCTGCAGGGTCACATTTGCCCCCTCCTGGTGCCTTCAGGGGATGCTCTGGCACGTTGCCCAATGAGTGCAGGGGACAGCCTGCCATCTTGCCATGGGCTGCAGGGGGATTTCTGCTCCAGCACCTCCTTCCGTTCTTCCTCAGCAACCTGGAGATCTCCACTCCAGCACCGCCCTCACCTCTCCAGCTCAGCTCTTCCCCCCTGCTCTCTCTGCTCTCAGCTGTCAGACCAGATCTCTCACAGGTTAATCACAGAGGTGCATCTATTGTCACTCTCCAGTGGCTGGGCCTTGGCCTCCTGAGCTGGGGCAGCTTTGAGGAGCTTCTTACAGGAGCCAGCCCTGGGGCCCCTCCCCTGCTTCCAAAACCCTGCCAGAACCAAACCAGCACAGCTGGTGAGAGCCCACCTGGAGCCCCCAACACAAGAAGGACACAGACTTGTTGGGTTGTGTCCCGAGGAGGGGCACAAAAACCATCAGCAGGCTGGAGCACCTCTATTAGCAAGATGGGCTGAGGGAGTCGGGGCTGTTCAGCCTGAAGAAGCCTCTGGGGGGGCCTCTCAGCAACCTTCAGTGCCTGAAAGGGGCCTGTATGAAGGCTGGGGAAGAGCTGGTCACTGGGGCATGTAACAGCAGGAGAAGGGGAAATGGTTTTTAAAAGCTAGGAAAGGGTAGGTTGAGGGTTGAGATTAGGAAAAAGGTCTTGACCATGAGGGTGATGGGTCAGTGGAACGAATTGCCTAGACAGGTGGCGGAGGTCCCATCTCTGGAGGCTTCAAAGTCAGGCTTGATGGGGCTCTGAGCAACCTGGTCTAGCATGATGATGTCCCTGCTTCTTGTAGGCGGGTTGGACTAGAGGACCTTTAGAGCTCAGTGCACACCCTATAAGCTCCAGCAGGCCCCCCATAGGTGGCGCACAGACACCTGCATCCGAGACCCAAGGGAAGGCCTCCTCTCTGCAGATCTTCTTAGCAGGGCTAGGGTTTGAGCTGCCAGGTGTGAGACATGGGGGCTGCTGTCATTTGCCATGCCTTCAAGGGCTGGAACAGAGAGGAAGGGAGCCAAGGTCAGAGCGGGATCTGCAGGGACGCCCCAGCAAGCCCTCCTGCCAGGGCCAACCCACCCAGCTCTTCCCATGGCCAGGAGGGAGCAGGAGCTGAGGGCACCACCCGGTCAGGCCAACCCCACCCAGCTCTTCCCATGCCCAGGAGGGAGCAGGAGCCGAGGGCACCAGCTGGGAGGTGCTGCCCTGAACACCTCACGTGCCCCTGGAGCCTCTCTCTGCTCTACCCACACTGCCCCTGCTCTGCATAGGGAGCGCAGCCCTTCCGGGCTGGGCAGGCTCCCTGCCCGGGGTCTTTCCTT